CTGTGCAATCCTGAACATGTTTAGTCTGAAGTATGTCCCATTCAGTTCAATGGTATTTACTTCCATATAAATGCACGGCTGGGTCTACACATAACTCTAAACTATGCTATGTGGTTACCGCATGGTATGGTTTCTTACCTGGTTTTGGGGTTCACACAATTGTGTGGCTTCCCAGCTTGCATTGTTTCCACCCTCCTTTATCATCCCACCTAATGGCAGCAGGTGTTTCGTTGTCCTTTCTCTTGGCTGCGACTTCTTCCTAAGGATATGCAATGCTGGAAGACTCATTCCATTGGAGTGCAAGGGACCTTCGACACATTTCTTACCCAGTTTGGTTCAGGCATCCATGAATTGCTTGAAATATTTGTGCAAATTTGGAGATGAGAACTGCGCATCCCTTGGGCTTACTACTCTGTTCTGCCCCTTTCTCCCAGGCCCAGCTCTTGCTGCCTCCACCGTTCCCCTTGCCTCCAGCTCACTTTTCCATTCAGAGCCCCCACACCCCAGTTTGTGGTGATCCAACTTTTCTTCCTTTACCCATGAGTTGTAATGCAAGGAAGGAGAGGTGAAGTCTTCTGGAGGCCTTCCTTCCTTGCATCCTGAGAGAGAGCACTGCTCCTGTAGATACTATAGCAATTCTACAAGCTCAGAGGTCATAGACTCCAGTAGACCCCTGTAGATTCAATGCAGAAGGGGCTTCTGAGGCTTTCTCTCCGATGTAAAAGTTGTGAGACCCAAGTGCAGCACATTCACTTCCCTTGCCTCTCAGTCTTCCATTCATACCTTTTCCATGCATTCCAGCAAAGCAGTTCTGGTGGGATAGGCAAACACACTATGAGTTGCATTATTTTGGGTCATGGTGAATTTAGAGGTTGTCCTGGCCTCCTGGATCATTGTAAAGCTCTGTCGTATATATATATATCAGCCAAGCTCACCACAAATGAATGTGTGCAGCTGATGTCAGCCATGTTAGTAAACTACATCTCGCTAGTGTAGTAAAAAGATCAGAACACGCATGGTTCTCTTGTGTTTCCAGGCTTAATGCTGCAAAATACATCTGAGGAGATGTAACTGCTATACTTTGCTCGGTTATACTGCTCCTTCGTTCCGGTGCGCCAAAACAGGTGGTCTGAGAAACCGAGGGAAGAGGCATGCTTTGCTCGGCCGTTGGGCTTAATGCTTCCATTTACTTTTTTTTCCTCACCCAGCTGTTATTTGTTAATGAACTTTGGAATCAGACAATGAATCAGGGATTGTCTGGTTTGCATGCTGAAAAAAGATGTGTGTTTGGCTGCTGCATGAGTAGATCTAAAAGCTTATTCCAAATCAGCTGGGCTTACACTTGGGAGGCCTCGACAAGAACTAGGCCTCCAATCCCTACCCATTACCTCTCAGATATTCAATAATATTCAGGTACCATCTGAAGAGTCACCAAAGACCATGTAACCTCTGTGATAAAGGACAGTGAAACTTAAAGGCCAGGGTCAGGCAATGGTGGGTCATTATAGGAGAAAGCCAGCACAAACCTTGAGCTCTTATGCTTGACCCTCTTGGCTTAATTTGTGCACCTGAAGGGGAGAAGGAAAGTTCCCTTTTTATTTTTGACTGAAGCACCATTCCCTGTTACAGCCAAAGTTGGGAAACTGTGGTTTTTCCTAATATTAGTGGGTTAAAACAACCCAGATCAAATGGTGGTTTGATAGCCTTGTTGAACTAAGCACAGTTAGGACAAGTGTAGTTTCCCAAGTTCTGATATGACCGGGGACGGTGCTTTGTTCCAAAGTGGAAGCTCTGCAGTTTCCACCTTTTGTGCATGGAAGCCCATCCTTCTCATGACAAAACATGGTTTGTTATCTTAATATGATAGCTCGGTAAAAGATGTTCTTGGGGTAATGGCTGGGGGCAACACAAGCATAAAAACATGCGTGGAGCCTCCATTTTACATTCTCTTGCTCCCATGATAACATGCAATGAAAATGCACCATGTCTTGACAACACATGCCTGGGATTTCCCCCACCCTGTTACCTTTCATTGGCCGGTGGTGACAGAGGAACGTACAGCATGAGGGTGTCAGGACATGGGTAAGTTTTAGTGCATGTTACAGAAGCACATTTGTCACAAATGGCTGTTTTTCAGCAGTTCACCCAGGTGCGTCATCATTTCCTGTTTTATATAAATGTGTCAGCTGGGTCCTCCTTGGGTCAGCATGCTCATCTCAGCCATGACCTCACCAAGCATCCATGGTCACCTGGGCCTCAGCTTCTACTTGAACTGTATAGGAATAATAATATTGCCCAGTTTTATGGGATTGCTGTGCAAGAAACACTGTCTCTGGAGTGCTTGCGTGCTCCTAGTGAAAGCAGGGATGATTATTTTTCTTGAAATAACTGGAGAGGTTCAAATAGGCCATGTTTGTTGGAAATGGTTGCGTGCCTACATGTGATGATATGCCCATTTAGGATTGGGTATATCTAATACATGACACATAACAGGAACTGTTTGAACTATTTATTGGAATTGTGTGTTTCTTCTATGCATTCGTTATGCACAAGTCATGTATTTCTGATTTTCTTCCATTGACTGCCTGACATGCTGAAGTCATTATATTTTTATTCTATATGATGTGATCTCCACCTATTGGGGATAGAATCCTTTGCATATTAATTTTTCAAGTTGCCACACATCCCTTAGTAAACTGACTTGTCCAACCATATCCAAAAGTAACTCCAGTATCTATCCACTCCAGTGTCATCAGGCTTTTGACATGAAAAATCAAGTGCAAAAATTAAAAATGAAGTGCAATTACAATCTGTGATGGGACTGGCCAGTTTGAAATCTCCATTCCACTCTAATCCCACCATGCAGTGCTTTAAAAGTCTCTGCACAATGCAGGAAATGTTCTGATGCTTATCTCCATCACTGGATGGTCATATCTCTGTTTTACCACCAGAAAGGACAAGAGCTATTGAATTTTCAGGAATCAAAGTTATCAGTTTGACATCCGGGTTACCATCCCAAATCTAATGTGTTCCCTGTAAAGTAGTTGTATGACCACCCTGCCCCAAGCATGCCTCTCTTATAAAGGAATCTAGTGCTGAACCATAGTTAGTGAACTGGAAGTATGAAGAACCACCAGGTTCTTCTCTGGAACAGATTCGGTGAAGCACTGAATGAAAGAAATGTCAGTGAAGCGTCTCCATTACTTCCCAGAATCCAGTCTGGATTATGGGTTTAGATCTCACTGTGAGTGATTGGCAATGCTGAAGAACATCTTGCAATGTCTCTTGGGCCACGCCAGGTCTCTTTCCATATTACAGAGGCCTCCAGAACATACAATGGTATGAACATGGAGCATGATACAGACAGGGAGCATGTGTGCTGATGTACTAGGGCTTGTTGTGGTTTAGGCACTTATTGGAACCTCCTAGATCCACCAGTTGGTGATGTATCAGGACCGGGCTGGTGTCTTGTACAGACCTGAGATGCCTGTGTCCCCACTGAAGGTCTACCACCAGTGTTGGCACTGAAGTGGGGTCTTGGTATCTCTCAGATGCCTTCTGAAGCAGGCAAAATATACTGCCCCTTGGACCAAATAAGAGCTGAAGGTACTTAGTATTTTATGAAGCCTGGCCAATCCCTACATTTCATTATGCCTAACAGTCATATCATACATAACTATCTCCTTTTATGCTCAAAAGAATCTTTGGAAAGGGATGTGCAAGGAATCCACCTGGGGAGTTAGATTGTCCTAGCTCAGTCCACCCACTGGATTCTGGCCCGCCAACCCAGCACTGGTGCTGACTCTGTCTAATGGGAGAAGAGCAACACAAGGCAGACCGTATTTGGCATTTTTTAAATCTGCATAAATTCCAGCCACAATTTGTGCAATTCATGCCAGTTGCGCCTGGAATTTAAGCAAACTGCAGTTGGAATTCACAGAAATTCCCCCTCCATGTATGTAACTCACGGGCCACTTTACAAGCTAAACCATACACCTTCCGAACTCAACCTGAGTTTGGATCTCATGTTGGCAAGATGCTGAAAGTCCGTCAAATACAACTGGGTCAAGTTCTCCTATCCAAGTTCTCCTATCCCTAGCTTCAGGGCCTGGGTTCACAGACCTACATCTTAGGTCAAGCATGTGCAACTAGTGGCCTTCCAGATATTTTTGCCCCCCCCCCCACACCAATCCTAACCCTCATACCCAATGGTGAGGGAGTGTCAGATCTCCAAGCCAGTGTATCTGGAGGGCTACAAGTTGCCCAACCCTGGTCTGAGTGAAGTTGGTCTCTGTTCAAGTCCATGGTCCTTGACAGGAAGAAGACGTTCTATTTTGACACCAGCTTCATCCTATTTGGGATGATGTATTTCAGTACAAGTTACAGTTGGGTCCAAATTCAACAGTATCCCAGTTCATTCTTTTTTTTTCCAGTGGAAATTTGGGAGTGTTTTTCAGCATGTATTGCTTCTGTATTTCCCACAAAGGCCTGGGGCATTCTGCTACCAGTGACCTTTCACTTTCAGAAGAGGCTTCTGAGCTACTGAATTCACTTAACACGGTAACCCTCCCATTACAAGATGTTCAGCAAGGTGGCAATCAATGGGTTAATCAACTTGGTGGGATAACTCTGCTGGTTGCTTTAGTCTAGCAAATCAAGCATTGCTTGCAGGGAAGAATACGGAACACAAGAAAATACTGAGGATGCAAGTTCAGCTGATAAATTTGTGGGATTAAATTGCATATTGAAATTTCTCAGTAAGGTGAGGAGTGATAATGGTGGTCAAAGAGAGAAAGTAATGATGGGTATCTTATTTGGAGGTCTGCCAAAACCTTGCTCAGTGGTATGTTGTGTGCATAGAAATCATCAGCTGTTATTTTGTCCTTGGTAGCACCTTCATGTTTTTGTTTGCTTGGAATATAATGCTATGGGAACACCTTGAAATACATCTCCACATTGAAATGAGGGGGAAAAATGATCCCTTTTCCTTATTTTTTTAGCCAAAAGCTGGGTCTCTTGGATCGGGTTCGTGGTACCAATACTAAAGGAAAGCTATTTACCCCTCTGAATGTAGATGCAATTGAAGAAAGTCCTTCTAAAGAACCTAAGAGTGTTGTCTTGAATAATAGAGAGCGTTTTCGCACTGCATTCCGAATGAAAGCTTATGCATTCTGGCAGAGCTCGGAAGGTAAATCTTTATATTGATTTGATTTTTAACTTCATTAGACTATGATATGAAAGCTCCCCATTTCTTATTTTCTGGGACTCCTTCTGACACTTTGACTAGTATTGAATCAAATGTTCCATTATTATTTTTACTTAACTGGGCAAAGCTTTGATATCCTCCTTCAAACTGTTTAGTTTTCAGGCTTTCCTATTCAGACATGCTCATTTTTGTTTCGATTTGCTTTCAAAACAGCCAACGCTTACTTGTTGATTCCACCATGTGATGGCTTTGGTAGCCCTGCTGGCCAGGTCAACCTTCCATTTGCTTGTTTGTAACACAATCACTCCATTGAACTTGCTGGAATGAAACTTGGAATTCACATTTGCAATCTAATTCTACACTTCAGGATCAAATACCAGCTTTACCCTCATGCCCATTTCAAAGGGGTCAGCAACACTATCAAACCATCAAACACAACAGTTCACAATGCAATACCTTCTTGGGATGTTGAGCCATTGCAATGAAAGATAATGTGTTTATTTAGGAAATCACACTGCACTCGATGGATAAACCATAGAGCAAGAAGGGGGAAAATCTGGTTCTTCACTGCCCCAGAGGGCAGGACAAGATTTCCTGGGCTTAGGTCAAAGGAATGAAGATTTTAGTTGAACCTGAGAGGAAATTTAATCACAGCAAGAGCAGAAGGGCAATGGAAACAATTGCCTTGAGGGGTGGTTCACACTCCATCACAGGATGTCTTCAGGTACAGATTAGACAGCCCATTCACTGTGGAGGTGCTACTCTAGTTCCTTCATCAAGTAGGGGGTATAGGGACTGAAAGAGCTCCCCAAGTTCTGTGGTTCTAATTCTCCTCCATTTCCAACTGTGCTTGAGAATGTGAAAAACACACTGCAATGTGTTATCTCCCACAAAAGCAGAGGACAGGCAATTAATGCGTGAATTCAGAACAATTCCTCACCCAAATTCTGGAGCCATAGAGATCCAAACGGCCTGTTTGGCCTTAAGGCTCAGGTTTAAGCTGCGTCACTTTAACCCCAGGTTAATCTGTTTGGAATACATACGGCTTACTGGTGTCCGCAGAGAGCCAGTGTGGTGTGGTGGTTAAGAGTGCAGGACTGGGATGCAGGAGATCTGGGTTCTAGTCCCTGTTCTCAACCGTGGAACTCACTGGATGACTTTGGGCCAGTCACAGACTCTCAGTCTAACCCACGTCCCAGGTCTGTTGTGAGGAGAAGATTGAGAGGAAAAGAATGATGTAAGCTGCCTTGAGTTCCTTGAAAGGCAAAAGAGTGGGATATACATATAATAGATAAGAGGGCAATGGGCAGTTGCATTGGGCTGTGCGCCATGTCGGCTTCATTTGGCTCCAGGTTAGTTCCATTGGAATATATGCCATTTGCTAGTGAGCTTATTTAAACTCCTGCTCAACAGAATTGGATGGGTGCTGTGTTGAGTCTTACTGCTATGCTTTTAATTGTGAGCCATATATTGATCATGTTAGCTGCTTAGAGAGTCCTGTCAGACTATTAAGTGGCATATAAATTTGAAAATAATAAATAAGTAGTGCTTTTGAGACATTTGTTTAATAGTCGTTTGAATCAGGTTGTATTTATTTGTTTACTTACTTATGAATGTAAACCAGCTTGAGTGCCACTGTCTGGGAGGAAGGAGGCCTCAAAGCAAATCAATAAGGAGGGCAGTTCAGAAGTACACCTGCGACTTCTTCAGTTTGCTGTATCCTTGAGATGCACGTAATGGTGACGACTGAATAACCCAACCATGACTATATGCATTCATTCTAGCTAATTAGAGAGTGTTTGATGGGAAAGGGGTTACAACGGATGGGATGGTACAACAGATAGAGCAATCCAGAGTGTCAAGTTAATGACTTCTATGTAGATGGAGGGCTAAACATTTTGGACTTGTGCTTTCATGAAGCTGCCAGATTTAATAATTTCTTCATCTCCTGGCTGAACCTTGCTCATTCATAATGGCGGCTTATGAATTTGATGTTAGGTTTGCCACTGTTTGCAAGCTTCTGGGCATGTGCCGTCTGTACCTAAACAAGGCCATTTCTGTGCATCCGTGGCATGGGATTAATCCTTTCCTTGCCTGATCTGCTGCTGCTTCCCACCTCTCTGCTATTGCGACTCTACTGCACAAGGAGCAGGAAGGCTCAACAGAACTTCACCTCATTCTTTAGTCATGCTCCCATCTCTTTAGCAACTTTCCTGCTTCTTGTGGCTGTCATCGCTTCAGCTCCGGCTCTGAAGAGGTGCTACACAATTCCACATTGCAGCTGACAAAATGCACTTTGATATTGCGCATGTGCGTAAGAATGATCTACACAGATGAGACTTTGCTTTGAGAAAGAGCTCTCCTGCAAGTCTACATGGGTACCTTTGTTCAAGTAAATGGCAAACTGACTCAGATGGTTTTATTGAATGTTAGCAAGATGGGGAGATGCTAGCGGGCAAAGCTGCAGCAACATCGTATTGTTCTGATCCTTTTGCATCTGGTTTTTGTTCATGGGGATGCTTGGCCCTCCATTAAGATGCTGGAACTGGGGATCCTCTGGCAGAAGACCGAGGGTACAGCAACGAGCTCCTAATTGAAGACATGATCCCCACACTCAAGGTGGTCATACGAGCTGTCAGGTATGGTCCGTGGGTATGGCTCTTTCTGTTTTCCAGTCGGCTTTAAATTCAAGGCCCTGCTTGCTAAAATATGGCCTGATGCATGACATCAGTGCAACATCAAGTGATAATTTGCCACCACGAGAGAGCTTTTCTCAATAGAGCATCACACGTGGAGATCTTCCATGCTGGCAATGCACACCTCCAAGGCAGAGTTCATTCCATAGTGGCAGGATAAAATCCCAGGTTCAGTCCCTAGTGGCAGGATAAAAACTTCATCTGAGACCCTGGAGAGGCCACTGCTGAATTGGAAGGGCCAGTAGTTTTTGTCTCAGAATGTATATAAATTTATACTTATATTATTTATATTTATACTTATATTATTTACATTTATATTTATTTCACTGTGCTGCCACCCTAAGACATTGCAAAGGGGAGGATACAAGAACATAACATAACATAACATAGCAGCTTCAAATATTCTGCACCCTGAATCAAGATGCACATGGGAGGCATGTCATTAGCAGAACCGGCTGGAATCGGAGGTCAGACTAAATGGCCTGGGAGGACCCTTCTGACTCTCTCTGTTTCTATGATCTATGTTTGCAATATTGGAGACCCTATAGCTCTCCAGATGTTTAAATGCTGCAATTCCTATCAAGTCAGGCTTAACCAGCCTAGCCAGTGGTGAGGGATGATGGGGGTAGTAGTTCTTCAAGATCAGGGCCAAAGTTCCCATATTCCTATTCCAACTGTATTATTGTTTGATGAAAACTATCCACGCATTACCTGTGATGCATAATTTACATGCTGATTTTAAGAACTAAAAGATGGGTAAGAATTTATCTTTAGTTCTTCTTTTAAATAAGAATGTATCCAAATTCAGAAATAATTTTATACTTGGAATGGAAAAGTTTCAATCATTCAAATGTAAGAGAAACTGATATATATATATATATATATATATATATATATATATATATGCATGCTGATTTAGGCCAGCACTTTGATTGCTTTGCCATTAAAGGTCTGGGCAGCCCACCAAAGTTGAGCTGCTCAGTTGGGTTTTCCCAACAGGCTCCTTCTCATTAACAGCTGTATGGCAGGCAGGTACAACACAGTCCTCCCCATGCAAAGAGCAGCTATACCTGTTGAATTTGGCCAGTGTAAATGGAGAAAAATATTTTGTTGGTTTGTTTGATAAGGATTGACCGACATTCACACATGACATCTATTTGGCATGGAAAGAGCTTGAAAGTTACACAATGCGGGAGACAGTGAAACTGACAGATTTGACCATCCTTATGCTGCAAGGACTCTTTTCTATTTGACCCAGAGGTCCTTATCTGACCCCGAAGGTATGGGAGGACACAGCGGCTTTAAGTCTCTCTCCCACTGCAGTCCCAGTCCAGATTGGGCCTCTTGTCAAATAATGATCCATTATTTATTTTATTTTTTTATTTATTTGGGTATTTTTATCCCCTCCAATTAGGACACATCTCTGGATGGGATAAAAATACCCAAATAAATTATTGCAAATTCATTGCAAATAAATTATTATTATTGCGATAATTTATTGCAATAAATTATTGCATTATAGCGATAATAATTTATTTGTTGCAATAAATTATTGTATTATAGCAATAATAAATCAAATAATTTATTTGATGCAATACTTTATTGCATTATAGTGATAATAGTTTATTTGATGCAATACATTATTGCAATACTTATTTATTGCCATACATTATTGCATCATTGCAATATTAATTTATTTGTTGCAATAAATTATTGCATCATTGCAAATGGGAAGCCCTACCAATCAATGTCCTCTCCTTGTCACAGAATACTACAGTTTCGCCTTTATAAGAAAAGATTCAAGGAGACTTTGCGGCCTTATGATGTCAAGGATGTGATAGAGCAATATTCAGCAGGGCACCTTGACATGCTTTCCAGAATCAAATACCTTCAAACGAGGTAAGAGGCTACTAGCAATGCTCAAGCTGTGTAGCTCTTGAGCTCAAGGATGCTCATCCTGGAGAAGACGGCCAGTCAGAGTCACTTCCAGCAGATACTGGGGAAGCTACAACCATACAGCAGCAAAGGCATCCCACACCACCAAGACTGGATGTTGGTGATGCTTTCAGCATCATCAGAGGCCACATTGGCCTAGCTCACCTCAGCAGCATTTGGAGGGGCAATAATTCCATGATGGAGCCCATTCTTTCCGTGAAGAAGGTCCTAGCTTCAATCCTGCCCAAAACCTTGGAGAGCAGCTGCCAGTCCATATCAACAAAACTAGGTTGCATGGTGCAGTTTAACACAACTTCCTATGCATGAAGGGCACAGTTCTGTGGCTGCTAGATGCCGTCCAGATGGCCACAGTAAAACTTGGAATCCCTACTTTGTTCTAGGAAAAAGCACTCTGAGGCCTCCAACTTGGGAGTGCTCTCCCTCCACCCTTGCCGCTGGAATAATTTTCCATGTGCTGGAAGAAGGACTTTGGAGCCAGTGCTGGGGAATTGTTTGCTTGTTTATTTAAGGTTTTCTATGCTGTCCTCTATTTTAAAAATCTCAAGATGGTTTCAGGGAGGAGGGAGGGAGGAGCAAAGCACCACCAAGTGATGAAGGATCCTGGTGGCACCTCTGCTGTCTCTCCTCACAAGCTGGGGGAACACCGTGAGATGGCTGAAATTGGCTGTTACGTGGTGTGGAGAGGGAGCGAGGCACACGGCCTGTCCTTGCTGCCCTGCTCTTCCCGTCTCCCATAGGATGACTGCATGGGCAGCCCTATTAGATTGCACTGCCCCTTGTCTTTATCACAGCCCTACAGGACGGGCAAGCTTTCTTTTGTCACTGCAAACAGCTGGAAAGAGCATAAGGCAGGCGGGCATTCGAAGTGCGCTAGAGATACAGCAAAAGTCCATGTGCAAACCCCTCAGAACGCAGCGACTGCATCTGAGAACCTTTCCAGCTTACTTGAGAGACGACCTCTGATTTTCCCTGACTTGTCCAAAGCTTCCTAAGGGGCTCAAGGCAAATATGAGATCTGAGCTAGGTTCTTCCTGCAAAGCTCTGACGGTTCCTGCTTGCAGGACACCAGATTAATTATTGTAGAGAAGTTGTCACTGGGGGCTGGTGGGGAACATGGATGATATCCTGGAGGCCGAATAGGAGCTGATCTGATTAGCTGTTGATTGATGCCTTTTATAAGCTCTAAAGCCCACCTTGTGACCAAAGACTGATTCATAGGATGATTTAGAAAGGTAAGCCCTTGGGACTGGGAAGGATGAGGAATCAATGAATGAATCATAGTCCTCTCACAGTGTCCTATCATTATCTTTTCAGAATAGATATGGTTTTTGCACCTGGAGCTCCATCCACTCCCAAGCATAAGAAATCCCTAAAGGGAGGAACATTCTCTTACCCTTCGCAACAATCTCCAAGGTGAAGTTATTCTGCATGTAACTGGTTGGATTGCACATTTCCATTCTCTCACCACCATCTTTGGTCCGTTAGGGGCAATGTGGCCAAGTCCACAAAATGCCGACCATGGGATGCCAGCGCTGAACATGACATGAGTGTGTCCTCACAGGGGACAACATCCAAGTCATTGCTAACAGTGATATAAACCACGTTACCTGGGATGATGGGCTTTCCAGGGAACCATTTTCAGCAACAGCTCTAGAGTTGCACTACATGTTACTCACACTGGCACAAAATGATTCCCATGAACACCAGAGTCCAGAGAAGGTCCAGAGAAGCATCTAGGCCAATCTTACTTGGAAGACACTTGGCCTTCAAAATCCTGGTCTGATGAGCACCAGCTTAGCTCTAGACCAGCATCAGGTGTGGTAAGAAGCCAGTCAGTGTGGAGCTGAAGCCCAGCTCCCTCAACATGCAGCATTCCCAGCTAGCTGTTTTGGCTCATTTGGATTCTGAGGAGTTGCAGATATCCCAGAACTGTTGCAGTACAGAAGTGAGATTCCTCAGGCAGCATCTGAGAACCAAACTATCATGTGAAGGAGGGGACACTGTAGAGTAGGTAGGGTTGGAGGAGGTGGGAGAATTCTTAGATCCTGTAAAAACACAACAGGCTAATGAGTAGACTAATTAAGTAATGTCAGGCATTCCTGTCCTCTACAGCATCAGCCACGCTTAGAGTGGAATCAAGACCTTTCAGAAAAGGAGGACAAGAATTTCGAATTCACCTCTTCAAATGGCCAGAAACTGCCCCTATGAATCATAGGGAGGCATTAGCTGGATTTGTGCTGCTTGTAAACCTGTCAAGCTTCAATAAATGATGATCCTAAAGCTTCTGCATATCCCTTAACTAGTTCCTCTGTCTCTTTTAGAAATGAACCATTCATAGCCAAAGCATCCACAGTAGATCCTGATGACCAAAGTATGATGGGGAAATTTGTCAGAGTTGAAAGACAGGTAAAGAATATTCAGCTCTTCATATGAATGCATCCCCCTTTTTATCACATATTTTGTGCAACTTTTCTGGTGGCCTGTTTTACTTTAGTTGGCTGGATCAGTCCTAGAAAGCTTGTGTGGAGAATCCAGATTTCCTCAACGTTCAGGTGCTGTTCGTACCTGACCTTATGGTCTTCATCCCTCAACAGTTCTGTCCTTTTCATTTGCCCAGTTGGCCCAAAACTCAAAACCATCAGGAATGAATAACATTGCTAGATTTAAAATAGATTTGACTTGTTCCTGGAGTAGGTGGAATATGCCTAGCAATGGGTGCTCGCCATAATACCCATTGTATTTAGAAGTATCAAGGCAATGAACAGTCATGACTGGAATCTCCATCTTCAGAGAAGGCAGGCCACTGAATGGTGGCCATCAGGATCAGCAGAGAAGTCACTGCATGCATTTCTGGTGACACCAGGTTTGCTACTGAGGAAAGAGGTAGGATGGGTTTGATGGAACTTTGGTCTGATCCAGCTGGACAAAGTTCCAGAACATTCCTTTGTTAGAGGTTGTTAGCAAAGGTTTCATGGCCACCTGTCAAAGATGGTGTACCACTGTGGTGGCTCTATTTATTTTTTTATCGATTTATTAGCACCAGCATGCCCATCGATATTCCTCATGGCCTTTACGAGGTTCTCTGCACTGCCTGATGGTTGCTTCATTCCTTTTGATTTTTTAAAAATACTCCTTTTGCCAAACAGAGTTTGGCATCCCGCCATCCTTGGCTGAGTTCGAAGGAGTTACTTTCTCCAGATCCTTATACTTAGGTTCCTGAGCAACTAACTCTTGTGTAAGACTCAGCATTGTCTCATCTGATACATGAGTGTTTGTGATTGGCCACATCCACCTGGTAGCTGTTTTGTGACTAGGCACCCTCACAACCCATTTTGTGAAAATGACCACAATCTTCTCTCAAATTTCCATATGGCCCACTGACCTAGAAAATTTGGGGACCCTTCAAATAGCAGCTGGTTCACTGAATTGGGAGGAGGTTGGATTAGATGACTCTTCAAGTTTCTTCCAGTGCTTTTGATTGTGTGACCATGCTTAGGTTTCTCTGCCATGGCCAACTTGTAAGCTCCTCAGGATTATGCTTCAGGATAACCTGATTGTATCACAAAAGACCCCAGAATTTTCTGCATAAGAATGCAACTTGGTCATGAGAAAACAACTGAGAGACTGATACGGTAACAACTAGATAAGTTCTTAGCATGAAACTGATTCAAGGAAGGACACAGATTCTATGGCCCCACCCTCTTTACAGTCTAACATGGACTCACTTAAGAAAGTGCCTGTTGTTGTTAGTCGCGAAGTCGTGTCCGACCCATTGCGACTCCATGGACAACATTCCTCCAGGCCTGCCTGTTGCCCACCATCCCCCGGAGTCCACTTAAGCTCACGCCGACTGCTTCAGTGACTGCATCCAGCCACCTCGTTCTCTGCCATCCCCTTCTTCTTTTGCTGTCAATTGTTCCCAGCATTAGGCTCTTCTCCAGGGAGTCCTTCCTTCTCATTAGGTGGCCAAAGTATTTGAGTTTCATCTTCAGGATCTGGCCTTCTAAAGAGCAGTCAGGGTTGATCTCCTCTAGGACTGA